TGCATCCCTGCATCCCACTCCCTGCATCCCTACATCCCACCCCACCGTTGCCAGACCCAGCACCCACTTTGGCAGATGCCCACGCTGACAAAACCCTGGCAGGATTAGTGCAAAGGGAGGAGACCCAACATCCAGCCCTGGCTGCAGGGACTGCTGGTTGTCACCGCCTGTGACAAATGGTCACCCATGAACAGGAGCTGTTGGTCCCTTCCAGGACATCGTCCAGGGAAGGTGGCAGAGGCTGCCTGAGGATTTGGCTGGGGGGGGTCCACCACCAAGCCACAGCAACAGCAGCTCCCTTGAGATCTCATTTTGCCATCTTGTTGCCTCCTTTGGCTTTTTCTTTTTTTTAAAGCTACTAGAATACAAAACTAATCTGGGAGTTCAGGAAAAGTTGCCTCTGCCAAGAGCAGAAGCGAGGGAGTGTGTGCACAGGCAGGCTGGGACCCAAGGTCGGTCCCTCTCCACCTCTGTACGAGGGGGAAATGTTCACATTGACAATTCCCAGGATGAAATTCTTCTCCTTACAGAGCCCAGCGCTACCCCTGATTGCGCTGATGTGTTTGCAGAACTGGAAGGTGGGGGCAGAAATAAAAACTAGGACCAGTGTTTGTAGGGTAAAATTCTGGAGGCCACTGGGATTGTGCTTAAATTGGGGGATTACAGGTAATTTGGGGCTGATAAAGAAAGTATTTAATTTTATAAACTCTTACTTTCAGGAACAGTCACTTATTTCATGCTTATCAGAGAATAAATGGGATTGTAGAGGATGCTCAGTGGTACTCTATACCTGGTTGGATGAGTGATGGAGCAGCATTTGATGCTGGGCACCTAGAAATAGTGTTGAGCAATGATTTACCACCCACAAAACCTCATGAGCTGGTGTTTGTGAGAATTCATTACACAAAACTCACCCCAGGGCTGTGTCTGCAATGGGTGTTTGTGGAAGAAACCGGCGCTGGTGGGACAGCCGTGGTCATTTGGTGGCAGAAACAGGGATTCAAAGAAAATCTGAACCCAAAGCTAAAAAAGAAACCACCCCACAGAGGCAGCTTGGTTTTAATAAAGACTCTGTGCTCTTTATTCCAAAGGGCAATGCACAGCAGATAAAATAGTATCAAAAAATATGTACAAAAATAGCCACTATTTGCACCGGACTTGCGAAGTTAAGGATGAGCAGTTGGGTGTTGAAGCAAGAAGAAGGATATTTTACTGCTTGTAAACCATCAGCTGGGGAAAAAACAAGTAGCTATGACACAAACATTTTCCCAAAGAAGCATCCAAGAAGTTCAGTTTATAGGTAATTTTCAGTTTATATCTAATTTTTAGTTTATATCTAATTTTCTTTTTATATTTAACTTCTAGTTTATATCTAACTTTTAGTTTATATCTATTTTTTAGTTTAATTTTCAGTTTATATAGAATTTTTAGTTTATATCTAGATTTTCATTTATGTCTAATTTTCAGTTCATATCTGATTTTTAGTTTATATCTACCTTTTACTTTATATCTAATTTTTAGTTTATATCTAATTTTTAGTTTATATCTAATTTTTAGTTTATATTTAATTTTTAGTTTATATCTAATTTTCCCAGCCCAATTCAGTCCTTCCCAGCAGAAGGTGCTTGTCCCTGCTGCTCTTCCACTGTCTGTGCAAAGGACTCATCGTGATCCCTATTCAGGGGCAGCTCTGGGATGGTCAGAGCTGCTAATCCAGTGTATTTAGTGCAAATATAGTGTCTCTCCATTGATTTTAGCAGCATCCCAAGGGGCTGGGTGATCCCATGGGATATCAGCAGGACCTCCTCCCTCTGAGATGCCAGTAGGAGGGATGAGCACTCTGCAGGGTTTTGGTTTTGAGGACATAAAGGGGTTTTTTTGTTGTTCCAAGCAATGGATAAGCAAAGTGCAAAGTGGAAAAGCAGGAGAACTGGGATGGAAACACATTGCAACAGTGCAGGGGAGATGGCTGGGGGGATACAGAGCAGCTGAGAGCAGGAGCTGGAAGAAAAGGAAAATGTTATCTGGAGATATTAAGGGTTACTTTCAGAAAATGAGAAAGCAACGGGTTGTCCTCCACGTCGGGCAAACAGCTTTGATAAGAAGAGGAATGGGATATCTGCTACAAAGGGTTTCAGTTGGCGTGTTCTCCTCTCCCTCCCCCTGAGTTTTCCCTCATCCACGTACCCTCAGCAGTTTCATCTCCCAAGATCTGGATCTAGTGGCAAAGCAAAAGATCCATTTCCAAATAATCATGTTAAAAGGGACAGATCTAAGCAGTTTCTTCACATTATTTAACTGGCTGTATTTCCCTGCTGCGAGAAGAAATGGGACCACTTGGTCATTTTTAAATTCTCTTTCAGAAAGAACAGGCACCACAGAAATATTTCTGGAGGTTCACAGGGAAGGACCCTCCATGTACTTTTTGTTTTAGAAGATTAAATTTGTTCCAGCAGAGCTACACTGATTTACACCAGCTGAGAAACAGCAGCTGAGGTGTTTCCCTCTCTTGGAAATCTCATTTATTTCTACACTTTCTCCCATGGACTTAGTGACACTTAAAGTTTTAAGTATGATTAATTAAAAAATATATATATATATTTTTGCTATTCTACTAGTGCAAATAGTTGCCTCACTAAAAATCTTGTAAAGAGATCAACCTCTTGCTGTCGCCCTGCTTCAGTGCTGGGAATTGAGCTCATTTCACTGGCAAACGGGAGAGTTTTGCTGCTCTCAAAGTTGACGAGAAGGTTGAACTCTCTTGAAGCTGTTGCTATTTTAAATAGCTGATATGGGAACGTTCAAACATCAACACCCGGATATGCAAAACTCATCTGTCATTGTGCTATTGTCCCTGTTCCCGAGGTTTTCTGGTTTGGCTTCTCCAGGTTTGGGCACGGGCAGTTGGCATCTCGGGGTTGGGTGGGGGGGAAGCTGGCACAGCTCCATCCCAAGTGGGGCGGCCACCTCAGCTCAAGTCCCAGCAAACCCAGTCCCCGCAGCTCAGTGGCTGTCAGACACTTCAAGTTATTTTTTCTTGGAGCAGAAAGGGGTTTAATTCTCCCCAAAAGTGTGTTGCCCTGTGTGGAGGCTGTGGTGCTGCCTTCCAGCAAGCAGAAATTTCAGGGGGGGTGTCTCTAAATCCCCTCTGGGACCATCAGCAATTATGGTATCAATGTCAGAAATGCAATTTTTTTTGCCTTTTTTTATTTTTTTAAACCTAATTTTTAGATCATACAGCAGCTGGTGGCCCAAGTGGCCAAGCTGGGGCTGTACCAGTGCCAACCCAGCATCAGCACTTTGCTTTTTCCTCACTTGATCTCAGCGAGGAGCAAAGACTTCAGGGACAATCACTGTCTCCAGGGTTGGACCATCACTTGTTTTCTACCCTCCTGAGGGGGTAGAAATATAAAATATAAACATATTTTACAGCTGCAGATTGACCCCACAGCAGTGCTATTGAGTGTTGAATTACAACCTTTTAAAATCTTGATTGTTTTTTTTAATTATTATTTTTTAATGTTAGAGATGAGAGCGGCTTGTGCAGCAACTAGATGTTGATAGTTACTTACAAATGGCATCTCCCTCCCCTAATTAGCACTAGAAAAAGCAGCGCAGTATTAAAAAAAAAATTAAAAAATTAAGAGAAAAAGATGATTTCTGCTTTAAAAAAGTGATTACCACCATGAGGGACTCCAACCATTCAAGTAGTAGAGGCAAGGCAGGTATTGCCAGCCACCCCGCAGCGCCAGCAGCGATGCTCCAGGGAGCTCGGCCGCTTTCTGCCCCACCAGACGTGTGTCCAAAGTGCTGATTTCAGTAGCCACCTGTTTCCTTTTAGTTTTATACCTCCTGTTCTGAAACCAAATTTTCACCTGGGTCTCGGTGAGCTGCAGGTTTTTAGCCAGGTGGGCTCTTTCAGGGGCTGAGAGGTATTTTTGGTGGCTGAATTTCCGCTCCAGTTCGATGACTTGGGTGTGGGAGAACGCTGCCCGCGAGCGCTTCGCCTGCTTGGGGGGACGTGGGGCGATGGGCAGGGGTCGCAGTGGGGGGTCACAGTCTGACAAGTAAGTCTCCACCGTGGCATCTGTGGGAGGAAAAATTTAGAAATTACCCATTTGGAAATTACCCAAATTACTTGCTTTTTCCCTTCCAGTGAGCAATGTGTTCATATTATCTTGGCAATATTTTAATTTAATGGAGCAAACACCATTTTAAAGTCATAAAAGGGACTTTTTACTTCCTAAATCACTTTCTTAATTCATATAAGCATGCATTCAATGTGAACATACATTCAAGGGACTAAAATAATAGAGAAAGGGATATTTTGCAATGCTTAAAACCTTCAAATATTGTTGTTACGTATATTATGGCATCGTCAGCTCTTGAGATTTTTATTGCAGAATTCATACTCTTGGGCACTTTTATTTAAAATGTTCTCCTGTGGCTGTGGGAAAATTCTGATCCCCAGAGAAAACATGTTTCTGTCCTCAAGCTATGGAGGAGAGCTCAGGAATTGGTGCAGCTTAGAGCAGAGTGCACTCAGAAAGCAATGAGAAGAAATTCTTCCCTCTTCTCTTTCGTGACTCAAAGGCAAAGCCAAGAAATTTTGGGCCAGATTATGAAAATTTCAGACCTGGCTTTACAGGTAGAGCTGCAGACCTGGCCTTGGGTCACAACCCCAAAGCAACATCTCAATGTTTGCCTCTGACTTCTTTCTCATGGCACCGATGGAAGGTGCTGAGCTCCTTGGGAAGTGACACCTATCACTCTTAAAATTTCTTAAAATCAATTTATTTATGCAGCCAGTTCCTTTTTTGTGTATTACCCAGCTTGGGCTGGAAATAGGCCAATTTTATTTTATTTTTTCCTTTAGTCTTTTCATAGTATATCTTTTCAAGATGTGAACATAACGCTCAAGATAAAAACAACAGGCTTAACGTTAGAAATCATGGTATGTGATTTATAACAGTGAAACCCCCGGAGCTGTGCTGATTTCGGAGAGATTTGGGATGACTTTTAATGATTTTCGTAATCATCAGCCTGATGGCTGTTTCTGAACTTGCTTTTATGTAAAAGTTTCTTTTAATAGAAATGAAAAGTAAAGCCAAAATTCCCCTGGCAAAGGCTCTCTTAGCAAGAAAGAACCGGTCGCTAGAGAGTTCAAAATTGCTTTGTTGGCTGTGGCAGCTCGGGAGGGCTGGGCAGGGAGAGGATCAGTCCCCCCCAGAAGAGGACAAGCCCCCCCCCCCCCCGCAGCCCTGGCTGATGCAGCTCAAGAGGCATCGCTCAAAAAAATTTACTTCTGAGTGTGATTTGTTTCTGCAGTGAAATATTATTGCCTGTGATGAATTTAGCAGCCTCGTGCTAGAAGGAGGTGCTGCTGGTGGTGTATCAAGAGGAGCGGGATGGGTGTTGATAAAGGAGGTGATGGGCAGGGGTACAGACAGGAGCACACGACCGGGTACATAGGAAAGCTGAGTTCTGCTGCAAAGGGTAAAAACTCAACACGGGGACTTTCAAAATATCCCCAGACCTGAGGCACTGATGGATGGCTGCGTGAAGGACAGGCACACAGTGCCTCTCTGAGCTGGCAGCCCTGAGGTGCCCTTGCTGGGGACCTTCTGTGTTACAAGGAAACTTTATTTCCCCAGATATTGCACAAATCCATCAACTGGGTTTGTTTTTTTTTTTTAATCCCAGAATTGCCTGGGTTGGAAAAGCCCTTTAAGCTCATCGAGTCCAACCATGAACCCAACACTGACCAGTCCCCGACTAACCCATGTCCCTCAGCACTGTGTCTACACGACTCTTCAATCCCTCCAGGGATGGGGACTCCACCACTGCCCTGGGCAACCCCTTCCAATGCCTGAAAACCCTTTCAGCAAAGAAATTCTTCCTCACATCCCATCTCAACTGCCCTGGCCACAACTTGAGGCCATTTCCTCTTGTCCTGTCATTTGTTCCTTGGTTGAACAGACCCACCCCCACCTCTCTTCACCCTCCTTTGAATATTTGAAGTGTAACTCCAAGGATTCAGTCCTTTGAGTTATTGGAAGCGCTGGGTGAAAGGTTTGCCCTCAGTTGCTATCTCCCTGACTTTCCCACTGCTGGAGCACGGATGCTCCCTGGTTTTAAAACACAGGTTATCCAGCTCTGGGGTGCTGGAGGCAGCCAGGTCTGGATCCTGCCCCTTGCTTGACCCAGGCTGTTGGGGTTGACCCAAGCGTAGCCCTTGCTGACCCATTCCCCAGCCAGCTCAGCTGGGAGCTTCCACCCCCTTACCTGCATCCATCTCCTGGGATGTCCCTCGAACCTGGGCTGGGGATGCTCCTGGGGAATGAGGGCTCTTGGGGGTCTTCCCTGGGGCATCCACCGTGGCCGAGCTGCCCTCACTCCCCTCTGCTGCCCCTGGTTCCCCGTCCTCAGGGCTGCCAAACCCTCCGCTCTTGCCCTGCTCCAGCCGTGCTCCCCGCTCTGCCCCATCCCAGAGGATGTCTTGGATGAGGAAGGATGTCCGGGGTCTGGAGGAGATGGGCATGGTCTGCTGGGCTGCTGTCGCCATCCGGCTCATCCCTGCTGGGGTGCTGCTGGGTGCTCTCTGCCTCCTCACAGGGAGCACCCTGGCACTCATCCTCCCCTTCCTCTCCCTGCCCAGAGGCTTTGCTGCATTCCCACCCTCCCGGCTCTGTGTTTATAGGGCAGGCAGCCAAGCCTCCAGGGCCTGATTGGAGATCCCTGGCAGGAGTTTACGCCCTTCGGTTGTGTCTTGGCTCCCGCGGGACCTTCGGGCTGTTTGCTTCTCCCTCTTGCTCAGGACACCCTTCCCCACAAATCCACAGGGTCATGGCCAAGCCTCCTCCTTTGTCCTCCTGATACTCCCTTGCTGGCAAATCACCCCCTTTTATGATGAAGAGAAGGGTGCTTAAGTGAGTTCATCCTTTTTTGGGGATCAAAACACCCTCAGGGTGGGGATTTTAGGGAGTGGAAGGGGGAGCAGCATTGCTGCCTTGGAAGGATGCTCTGCAAGGGGACAGCTTCTGCATCCCCTGCCCCAACCCCAGTGAGCTGGTGCTCTGCTTGCTCCTAGTTATGGAAATGATTTATATCCCAAGGTAATCCCTAGAGCTCTTTGGGAAAATGCTGTTTTCAGGTGAACAAAAGAAGAAAAAAAATCCAAACCTTTTTTTAAAAAAAATTTTGAGGGTTTTAAGGGTTTTCTTCAAAACCTTCCACTTTGATGCACTTTCAGTTTGTTGAAAAACAAGGGAAAAGTTTCTATCAGCTTTGCAAAGCTGCTCTAACGAGGGCTTAAAAATGAAAGTTAAGATACAACAGACAGGGAGAGCAGCTCCAGAGGCAAATGGTTGCACAGGAAGGGGCAGAGGGTTCAAGTGAAAATTTAAGCCTAAACCTCAGACTAATTCCTTGACCAGCTGTGGAATGGGACAGCATTTATTTAAGGAGCCTTAGTACCTTTATACCCCATCCTGTAAGGTCCTGTGTTCAAAGGCACCCAAAATGAGCAAAACCTTCCAGATTCCAAGAAAAACCATGAGTGAAGCTCTCTGTTATGACAGATTTTTTTTTTCTGACTGTCAACTTTATTTTTAGTTGTTCCTCTAGACTTTCTGTTTGGAAAACAACTCCCTGCTCTCCACACAAACAGCTGGGAAACCTCCCCAGATGTGGGCAGCACATGATTCAAAAATCACCTTGCTCCATCGTAAGGCAAAGCAATTGGGTGGGGAAGGTCCTGTGGGAGCAGGATTTGGATGAGCAGCATCCCTGGGAAGCTCAGGCACCTTCTGAGCCCTGTGTGTATATATCCAGGTGGTAGCAGAGCTGGAGATAGTCTGTTTATCATTAAAATATCATCAGACCATCAAATGGTTTGGGTTGAAAGGGATCTGAAAGCTCATCCAGCTCCAACCCCCCTGCCAGCAGCAGGGACACCTTCCACTAGACCAGGTTGCTCAAAGCCTCATCCAACCTGGCTGAGACCACTTCCAGGGAGGAGCAGCCACAGCTTCTCTGGCCAACCTGGGACAGTGTCTGACCACCCTCACAGCAAAGAATTTCTGCCTAATATCTTATCTAAACCTCCCCTCTTCCAGTTTAAAGCCATCGCCCCTTGTTCTGTCATTAACTGTCCTTATAAAAAGTCCCTCCCCAGCTTTCTTGTAGGCCCCCTCTTCTAGTCTTAAAGCCTTCACTCAAACCTGACCTCTCTTCCTCAGCCAAAAAGCCTGGGCATGTTGAGGTTTTTTTTAGCTTTAAAAAGGGGAAACAATAGATTTCCTTGAAATCCCCTGAGGACTTTGTTGATTTTATAGGAGGGTGTTTGGTTACAGCAGCCCAAAGCCCAGAGCAGGTTGTGCAGATGTGCCCCAAAATCTCCTTTTTACCTGCTCTTTTCTCTTGTTCTTTAACCTGCTGATGCTCCTGGCTTAGAAAATGTCTCAGTGTATTTTAGAAAATGTCCCTGGGTAATTTCTGATTTGGACTAGAAACAGGAGGTTTAAAGCAACAGCCCTGATGTGCTGCAGAGAGGGAGGTGACATAGGGGATCCCAGGATTTAAGATTACTCCAACTCTATGGGAACTGGGATTTCAGGAAGCCCCCCCAAAACACATGGAGGGGTACAAACGATGCCTTCCGCACTCATGATTCCCATTTTCAGGTTTTTTTTTTTGAGCTGGGCAGGGTAACAGTTTCCTTCTTTGATTTCTGGGTTTATTTGGGGGAGATTTTAATGTGATTTACCTCATTTTATTGCTGAACCTCAAAAGGAAAACCCTGAGTGTTGTTAAGACTCACAGGGGAGCCCATGTGTTGGGGATGCTGCTGTTTGCTGGGGCTTTCCCTGGTGCCAGCAGCTTTTCCTGATGCAAGGACCCCATTGAGCCTCTCTGGCTGCTCCAAAGCTGGGACATCATCCCAAGACATATCTGATTTTGGGAGATATCCCTGAGTGAGTGTGGATGGCTGAAGGGAAGGAGAAGGGGCAGCACCCAGCATGGCTGTCACCTCACTCAGTTATTTCCAGGGTCCTGGTGAGGCTTCAAGGGGGATTTTCTGGTTTGATTTGGGTGTCAGGGATGTCCCATTTGGGAAGTGAGTGAATGCTGGAGTGATGGGGCTGAGTAGGATTAGAGATAAAAGCTTCATTACCTCCTGCAAGTCTCCTTTCACCAAAGGTTGGGAGGATAAGAAGCTGTCGGGGAGGAGGGGGCAGCATCCCAGAGAGGGGACAGGGTTTGTGAGGGGGAGATTTTGCCTGTCCTGTGTGGTGGGAGTTGTGTGCAGGATGTGACTGACTCCAGCACCGAGACATCTTGGCATGTTCAAAAAGAAAGATCTCTGTTAAACCAACATTTTGCAGCAGTGGCTGATCTTTGTGGGTTTTTCCTCCTCTTCTATAGGGGTAAACTTGGACCACAAGGTGATTATATTGCAGGATTAATTATTAGTATTAAGATTGATTTATTCTTTTCTTGCTTTGGAGGAGATTTTGATGCTGGGATGCAAATTATGGATGGGAAAAGTCAAAATACTAAGCAAGGAACGGTGAGAGAGGGAAAACACACAATTTCACCAGTTTGTTTTTTATTTGCAAATAATAATAATAATAAAGACAGAAATGAACACCTGTGCTGAGAGATATAAAGAAATATAAATCAGAAGTAGATCTCAAAAGGTTAGAGGAACTCAAAGCATTAAATAATGTTCATAAAAGAGTGAATGCACAGTGCTGTGCGCAGACCCTGTTTTCCAGTTGTCCTTAGGGAGAAAACCAGTGTTCATACCCTCCTGATGGCTCTGGGATCCTGGAGGAGCAAACCCTCTGGGAGCAGGAAGGTTTATAAAGTAAATAAGGTAAATAAATAAATGCCCTCGGTCATTGGGTCCCCAAAGTCGCAGTGCTGGAGTGGCAGCGTCCCTCTGTCCTGACCTGCCTCTGCGGAGATGTGACCACACGAGCTGCCTGGGGGGGACGGATGCTCTGGAGATGTCCCACTGTCCAGAGTGGGAGAAACCCTCTGGATTTGGCTCCCATCCCGATGAAGGTTGGGGTCTGGGGTGGACAGGGGGCTTTCCTCGGTGCTTTTCAGGTGGTCCTGACCTCCATGGCCATCTACCAAGCTCTGATCCCCGCTTGCACGCTGGCTTGCAAACCCACGGGCTGGTGCTGAGCAGCTCTGGCCATGCTCAAGCTCACGGTGGGGCTACCAGGGATGGCATTGGGGGCTACCCCGGTGTAACATCCCCCATAAGTGGCACCGTACGGGCTGCTGCTGTAGGTGCTGTAGTAGGAACTATAGGAGTAAGGGCTGGTGATACCATATGGGGCTGGATACGGCTGTGACCCCCCCAGACAGGGTTTGCCATCCCTGACCAGCACTGGCACTACCACCCTTCGTGGGGGGTGCGGGTGGGCAACCAGCTCCAAGGATTTATCCTGCCTTTGCCTTTTGCATTTGTACCTTCGGTTTTGGAACCAGATTTTCACCTGTGTGGAGGTGAGTTTGAGCACGCTGGCCAGGTATTCCCTTTCTGGAGCAGAGAGGTATTTTTGTTGCTTAAATCGCTGTTCCAGTTCAAAAACTTGAGCTTGGGAGAATAAAACTCGAGGTTTTCTCCTCTGTCGCTGCTTGGGGAGGTGGCAGGGGTCAGTTTTCTTCTTGTCTGCCTCAAAAGGGTGGGTGAGCAAATATTTTCCTGCAGTGAGAAAAACCCCAAAGAAAGTGAGACCCAAATCCATTGTGTTCCCAGTGAGGGTGTGATTCCAAATGAGGGATTGAATTGGGAATGGGGACCTTTGGGAATAAGATGAAATAGGGCTGATAGTTGATGAATGTAATATGAGTTTTCTTGTGATGTTTAATAGGAATTCAGGAAAATTCCCCCTTTTTTTTTTTGGATGGAATTCAAAGCCTGATTGCTAAGTGAATTTTGGATAATGCCTCTTTTTGGAGGTGAATCTTTGAAAACAGCTCTTTTTGGAGGTGAATCTTTGAAAACACCTCTTTTTGGAGGTGAATTTTGTATAATGCGTCTTTCTGGAGGTGAATTTTGGATAATGCCTCTTTTTGGAGGTGAATTTTGGACAATGCCTCTTTTTGGAGGTGAATTTTGGACAATGCCTCTTTTTGGAGGTGAATTTTGGATAATGCCTCTTTTCAGTCCCTCCTAACAATGTCTCTGCTGTCGTGGGTGCTGCCACCGTGGCAGCTCCAGCTTGGAGGTGCACAGAGAAATTGGGGTACACTGCAGGTTGGAGTACCCCAAAACACAAACCCCCTTCCCCACCTTCCTTCTCCGGAGGGATTGAAGTGATGGAGTCAGACCTCCAGCAGGATTTACCTCTGGCACTGGAGGAATCACACAGCTCTTTGAATTTAAGCAAAATCAGAAAAATGAAGGAATTGGGAACGATGGAAGAAAAATTGTTAGATCTGCGAGGAGATGCACAGTGGGTTCTTTGTTTGTTTGGTGGGTTTGGGGGGGGGTTGTGGGGGATTTTCTTGTTTTGGGGTTTTTTTTGGTTGGTTCAGGTTTTTTTGTTGGTTTTTGTTTTTTTTTTTTGTTTTAATTTGCTGGGGTTTTTTGTTGCAGGTGGGCTAACTGGGGGTCCTGGGCTCCCCGGCTGGTGGGACCCACTCGGGGCAGGGGGCTCGAGGAATTTGAGGGGAGGGGGTCTGCAAGAAAAAGGGGTGCTGGAAGGCTCCGTCTGTGGGTGTGAAGCCGGCAGAGACCCCTCTCCCAGTACACAGGTTCTGGTCTTACTGGTTACCCCGTTTCTCCGCTCTCCAGCCGCCGGGCATTGAGGAAACACGAACAGAGGGAAATTTGAGGGATTTTAGCCACGG